CGAGATCCTTCTTGTGATAGAGAACAAATAAGGAAAAAAATTTATAACTCCCTAAACTGATAGAAAATTAGCACAGTCATAAAAGGCGTATGTGGCTTTAGCAATGCAGCTGAAAAGGAAAAATGAATAAACGTGCCACTCAATAAGAGGCAGAGCCGAAGAATGACTGCTGCTATTTCAGCTTCCCAGCCCTTCTCCCTGTCATGTAAGTGTAGAAATAGGCTCATCCCCCCCTGTGCAGGCCAAAAGGAAGTGCTCTTCTGTTGGGCCATTCCTGAAGACACTGCACTCGGCAAAGTACTGCTATAAAGTGCATGACTAGAGGATATCCTAAATTAATTTACACAGCTATATAAATATATGCATGTGTGTGTGTTTTGTATGAAATATGAAACCAGTGATTTCTTAGCCAACCCCTTAATTTGTCTGAAACAGTGCAGGCATAATGGAAACTGCCCACACATCTTTCCATTAAAAGTTACAAAGGGAAGGGAGGGGGGAACTGGTGATAGAAAAACACATGCTCTCTCAGCTGTCACATGCATGCCATGCAGCCAGGCAGCAACATACACTCACTCACACCATTCTGCTGGAAGAAGTGTCATCTTTATTCTGCTGCTAACTGCTGGTCGTCTTCCTGCTCGTGCCCTCCCTCCTAAGCGCTCTGGGCTCCGCATGTGTGGAGGGGAGGGACATGGCCGTGTTTGTGCCTGTGCAGGTGCATGCAGTGAGCATAAAGAGATCCAAGCTTGTCCAGATCCATTTTGCCAGCTTCCTCTTCTGGATTAAAAAGCGATAGCCTTGCCATGCCATCGCCCCTTGCGCAGTGTCAGACGATCATGCGGGTGACTGTGTGGAGCCTGCAGAGTAACTGTCTGGGTGGGTTATAAACAGGCTCCCTGCCCTGCCAGCTTCTTGACCCTGCCAGGGATGGCGCTCGCCAGGCCTCTGTAGAGTCTGTCCAGCCTGAACGTGAGTAATGTTCTCCAAGGATGGATGACTGCGTGATTCTGTGCTGCTGAGTGTACGCCAAGGCAGTGCCGCCCAGCAGGCACCCCCTGCGGCGAGCCATGCTGGCTGCTGGGTGGCTCCAAGGGTGCCTTGATAGAGAAAGCAGGAAGGGGGAGGCCTGGGGGAGCACCGGCCGTTCCTCAGCCTCGGGCAGCTCCCTGGGCCGTCACCATGAGGCGCAGGCACTCCCTCACTGCCAACCAGGGAGACCACCACAGGTAAGAGACTGCAGCGTTAGGGGTCTTTGCGGCCCGGCATGGGGCATCCCCTTGCTCACGCATGTACTGCAATCTCCTGCCATGAAGCAGCAGATTCTTCAACTGGGAAAGGTTACTTCCCCTCCCCCTCGCCTGCCATTGACTCACCTGACCCCACTCAGCTGAAAGTGTCAGGTGCATTGGTTATTCATTGCAAACAACCCTACACTCTCAATGAAAATGCTATATATGGAAAAGGCGGTCCTATGAACTCACTAGCATTTTTTTTAAAGGATGTGTTGTGTTGACAGTGCTAACCGTTTTGCACAGCGGGGGGGAAAAATGCAGCTGGTAACTAATGCAGGACTGTGGGGATTCGTGAATGTGTGTATGTTTTTGTTTTTCACTATATTGTCCTATAACCTATATGCATCACTGAGGGTTATGTTAGTGGAATTTTGCTGCGCAGCAGCTGTCCGGGCAATGTGAAGCCAGGCCCACTCATCCTTTTAACCATCAAAGGTACGCATTCATTCCCTTTATGGCTGCCTCAGGGCACTGCTCCACACATCCTTCACAGCAGCAGTGCCAGCTTAAGGCATTCCTGCCAACTCCACTCTAAAGCCGTGCGGTAATCTGTATCTGTTGATTGATCGGGGTTAAAAATAACTTGGATGACTTGACTGGTTCCTTTTGCTGCACTAACAGCTATGCTTGCCCAAGAGAAAGCTAGTGCAGAGGAATGTGAGTCTAGGAGGTGAAAACACCCTCCTCTGGCTGATGAGAAATAGGTAAACGGAACTGCTCAGGTACAGAGAAGTTGCTGTAAAGTCTGTGTTTTAAGTTTCCTTTTGGGAAGCAGGATGGCTACCGGTGGGGGACTCTGAGGATTTCTTGGTGTTGAGACCATGAGCCTGTTTTCAGTTCTGCTAGTTCCAATCCCCCTCATATCTTTGGTTGGGTCTTCCAGTATGCCTATTCTGCGGTAACTTAGAAACGTAACAGCTTCTTCCAAGTACCAACCTGTGCCTAGGAATGTAAGACCACAAACCCTTCCTCAGGTCTTACTCTAATATGAAGGGCTCTGTATTTAAGAGACTGAGCCAAATTTGGCCATGGTAAACTCCAGCACCTTGCTAAGGACTACTACATGAAGCTATTCCAGGTACAATTTTAGTTGTCAGAAAGGAGATAAAACAGAAAAGCAAAAAAGCAGCCCAGCCCTGAATGGATCATAATTATAAAATAGGACTGACTTTTTGTTTTTAATAAAGACCATTGCTTAAGACTGCAGAAGTGTGAATACTCTCTTGAACTGTGCTCCAGGATTCAGCCTACAAAAAACCTGGTAGGTCCTTATCAGTGGTTTTTAGGCTCCCTCAGAGTTTCTAGCCTTGGCAAATTATGAGTGGTAACACTTGCAACTTTGTGCATCATTTCATTTATTTGAGTAATTTTTCCTCTTCCCTGACACTTCAGTATTAATGGTGAAGTAGCATTTCTCAATAGCACCATAATTTACTAATCCATAAACTGCAGGGATGTGTTTTATATTTCAAAAATTGTGACCACCCTCTCATTGCCCTCCCAGAGAAATCTGAGACTGTTGTTCCCCCCGACACTGCTAAGTGAAGTAAAAAGCAGCGCTTTCTCCCCCATGTTGCAGAAAATACCTGTCTTCCCTATGAAGTGACTGATGCTGGAGCTGCTTATGCCTTTCATCCATCTGCTGTCAATTTAACTGGCTCTGCTAGCTAGTGGCTCCTTCTTATGACCTTGCAAGAATTTACAAAACCTGGTTTCTATAAAAATTAAGGGGCGATCCCCATGTTTACCCTCTTGCTCAACTAACCATGTTTTGTTACTACCAGCTAGTGCTAGAATATATCCTCGTCTCCCCCCACCTCTGACTCAAGCCTGCATCTGGGAAGATCCGATGACTTGGCCAGGATTACCAGCTGCTGAAGTTACCTCAGCAGATCAGTCGCTGTTGCATATGTGCAGTAGCTTTGCCTGGACCGCTGTGTGTCCGGAAACCTGGAGCATAAGTACAGGGCTGAGGCTCCGCAGCCTGTCAGACTAGCTCTGGCAGATCCGGGCAGAGCCTTCGCAGTGTATGCACTGCATGTTTGGTCAGAGTGGGTGTGCAAGGCCTAGGCTGCTTTTTAATCCCCTGATTTGCACCACCTGGGCAGACCAACACAAGCCTGACTCTTCCCAGACTCAGTGGACTTACTATGCATATGTTAATGCTGGGGGGACGGTGCACAGGTCTATCTGGGAAGTTGCAATCAAGCAGCACCTGAAAGGCCAACAGAGCTAGAGAAAAGATTTACAGTATATATGTGTGTATGCATATAGCAGAAGGAATTGTCTTTCATGGGGGTCTTGAATCTTTCAGCTAAGACTGACTGCAATACAAGATCAGCTTTACCACCGTGTGAGGTTCCACATGCAGCGCACATATGTGTATCAGACCACATAACCCGAAAATAGGCATTTCTCTAGTAACGTTTAGCCTTGGTTTTCCAAATGAAGACATTGACTTGCAGCAAGACAGCCTTTTACAGGATGGAACTTTAAGTATTTATTTACCCATCTTTCAGAAGAATGCAGCTATCAGCTGCTTAATTACAGGATTATGTATGTAAACTTGCACTTTATAAAAATTTGGAAGTAAAACCTTTGCCTAACAACAGTCTTATTCTTGGCAATCACGTTCCATCTACGGAAGCCTTTCGTGTTAGAGACATACTCCCCATGTGAGTTATTGTTACAATTCAATAAATACTTTACAAAAATAACGCTAGCTTTTTAAAAAAATTAAGATATTTTAACTCACCAATAGTTCCTCCCAGACAGCTTCCTTAAAGAATAGCTTCTTCTGCAGGACACTGCGCACTCAGCATATGATAAATGGGGGGAAAGGGCTGGTTGCGTGCTTTATCTCAGGGAACTTTTCCTGCTCTTTAAAAAAATAAACTTCTTTCTTTTCTTAAAGAAAGAAACAAGCAGATCTAAACACTCTTCATATTAAAAATAGGGAAGTAACTGTGATTTTTTTTTTTCTCTCCTTTGACATGGCCTCCTTCTCTGGCCTCACTCCTCCAAAGACTTATGACATGCTAAATTTACAGGTAGCTGCCCTGAAGATCTGCTCCCTGGCATAAGGGGTAAGCCCTGACAGCTGTAGCTCCCTATCCGAGATGTCTCTGGAGTGGGCTGTTTGTAACTCTTGCAGAACCACTGCATTGGGACTTTTTCTGCTCTACAGGAAAACCACAGCTACATCTCCTGCAAGCCTACCCCAGGCGGACTGCAGAGACCTGAGCTAGAAGCTAACAGGAGGAATTCCAAGAAAAAAAATTGCTAGTAACTGCCTATATTCACTTTTGAGTATTACCCTTCCAAAAAAAAAATAAAAATCTTCCTTTCTTAGATATGACTAGTCATGAAATCAATTATAGAGAAAACTGATGCTGTAGGTGCATTAAATGTTGTAAACCATTCCCATATGGAAGAGTACGTTCTTCAATCCTATTGTTTATAACAACTTTTAAATATGTGCCCTCCTCAGCCGGGGCCTTGGGGCCTGAAAGTGATGGCAGCTGCCCCTCCCCTCCCCCCATCTCACACTTATGTTACAGTTGGGGAATAAAATGAAATGCACATTATTAAATGAACATTATTGCAGTATAAAATCCTACCAGGACAAGTTTTATGTATGTCTGTATGTAAAAATAGGTGTGTGTGAGATAGAGAGATATGTGTTTATAAATTACACACACTATGAAAAATACTTAAGTATTATATTACAACTATATACATTCATTAGAAAGAAAGTGATCAACCCCTGTGAAGGAGACAATGCAGCAGCCTTTATCAGTTCTTTGGCATCCAGGAAATGAATGCTATTTTGTGTCTGAAGAGGAGGAAAATCTCAGTATTCCCTTGCTTCTTGAAACTGCTTGTAGTAGTCTTCGTCTGAAGGGTTTTCTGTACACTTCTGCCCATTGTTTGGAGGTCGTGCTTCATTGTATCGGCTCCAGTCACCTTTGCATATAATCCAAGGCAGAATGTCCACTTTGTAATGGAGTTCTGCTGAGAATTCAATGCTGATCAGGTTTGGTGTACCTGCTCCTTTCCCTCTGGTAATCAGCTGCATATTATCATTATAGCAGCAGTGCTGTGCTGCAAGCGTTGTGCTTTCCAAAGAAAGCATGGAGCGGATGCAGTATCGTGCAGTGGGCTTATAGATCTCCAGTTTTTCCTTTGGACCACTTGCATCTTTCCAGCGAAAGTTCTTCCTCTTAATTCGATCATGGATATCAGCAGTGCTGTATGCGACTTCTCTGGGGTAGGAGCATGGGCAGCTAGGAAGATCGTTGACCACTTTGTGCATATATTTCTTCAAGAACTCACTTTTGCAGCTCATCCATCTTTCACAGCTGTCAGTATCTGTTTGAGGGCAGGAAATGGAAACTTAAGATACATTATGAAGCATGCCAGTTCATACGATCAGTGATAACAAATGAGTAAAGCATAACTGTTCAGCACCAGTGCTTTGCTTAAGAAAGAAGGGGCAGTCAAAGCTTGCCTCCCTGCCAGCAATGTGTTGATGTGCTGTCTTATCAGATAAAGAAATCACATGTGTGAGTGGCTCTAGGGCCTCATGCAGTGCTTATCTGAATTACAGTGCAGCACCATGCCAGCAAGAATCTTTGACATTTCTTCTACCTGGCAAATTCTAATTAAGCTGCCGATATCACCATGCAGCACAAGAGACGCTGTCATTGGTGCACAAGTGACAGAACTGAAATAGGGAAATCATGGTGATTTGATGCCAGTCTCCAGTTTAAACCCCTAGTCCACACACTCACCTTGTAAGCAGAGCAGATTCAGATGTTGAAGGATTAAGTTTCTCATGACACTAGAAATACCAAGATGGCAAGCAAGGCCTGCATTACTTTTTCTGAAGTTCATTATTAAGCCCTAATTCAGCCTTTCTTTTAACTAACAAATATTTTTTTCTATTTGATCTCCATCTTCCCAGAGGGGTATTTCAAGCAGCTGTAGTTCAAACATGGAGACTGACATCTTAGCTGGCAAATGCAGCCAAAAGTGATTCAGATTCTAAAAGGGCATATGTGACATAATATCAGAGCGTCTGTACACTAGGAGGATTTAATGGCACCAGAGCCATGACTTGTAGCTGGGATTGAAGAGATTTATAGACTAGTAGCATATTTAATACTGGCACTTTATTATTTTGCAAGAGTCTTGGGAGAATCCAGTTAAACATCTCCTACCTAAAACATAATTTAATGTGTCTGTATCGTGCTACGGGCTTTCAAAAAAACCCTGCACATCTTGCTCCACACTTAGTGGACAGGACTCTGGAGTAAGGCAAAGGCTGGGTCCTAAAACGCTTACAGCAAACATTCTTGCAAAATATTTACTTAGTGATCTGTGTCCTGTTTTTCTATCTCCTTAAAGAGTCCTGTCCCAGCTGCCATTAACTATTGTGCTCTACTACCATAGGAGGGAGGTGCTGTATTACATTATTTATCCAGTTAGTCCAGCATCCAGTGTCTAAGAGCGGCCGCCCTATAGTTTCACTGGAGGGATGAAATTAGAACATTACAGAGGTTGGGCTGAGTTTTAGATAGATCAGTACCAAGTCATGCCCTATAAAATTGCTTTGGCTAGTCCCACTGCAGCACACACAGTTATAAAAGTTAAGCATGCTCATAAAAGTCATTGTCATTTTTTTTTTTAATGTGAGACCTGTACCTAAAATGCTTTTATACTATCTTCCATTTGAGGCTATTTCAGCAAAGTGCTAAACAGTGTTTGATTTTTTTCCCCTGCATTAGTGTGGAGCCTTACAGCTCTTTTCTGAACTAGGACAGAGAATCACCATTTTATAATGAGAGAAGCACAGAAATTTGCCAAGACTTAAGAGGAGAAAGATTCTATGACAGAAGCAAGCTAAGGTTCAGATTGTAAACTTAAGCAAGACAAGAAATGGCCATTATTACTGACATTTTTAATGGGAAACTCAAAATCTTGGTCACGCAGTGAGAGTCAAAACAGGAAAAATCTTAGGAAGTCTCTTATCTATTACTGAAAGATTGACTAGGCTGCTTACCAACTTCAAACAGTTTGGTAGCATTAAAGTCTTCACTTCCTGCAAGTAAGCTCACTTCTGTGGCAGCTGTCCGGAAGGTATCTTCGATCCCTAAGAAAGACAAACGTGTGTTAGTGCTGGTGGCGTTTTCCTATTGAAACACAATGCAATCCCCTCCTTCCCCAGTTCTGCAAGGTGCTTTTGTTTGGCAGGGAAGTAATCTGAAGTTGCTGCGGGAGGGAGTGTTCATTTAAAAGTATAATGACCAAGGAATCCGTGGTGTTAGGAAGATAAAGCATTAGCTTAGCCCAAAGGTCAAAAGTTTTCAAGTTTTAGAGCTTAAATTATATTTAAGCAACAAACTGGTCAGTTATGAATGCAGTGCAGGGACAGCAGTGAGGGAACCAATTTTGTTCTTCCTCTTCCCGATGCAAAGCTTGCCAGCATCTCCCCGTAATCCAGGTAGGAGCTTTGCACACACTTCCTCAAGAGCCACCTGGTCAGCTTTATGTGACCAGCGTCTTCTCCAGAGCGTGTATCACCAGTGACCAACAAGGTAAAAACAAGTGTCCTAATGGAAGCTCAACAGCCCTGGGTAAAATGTGACATCTGAAGGAGACAGCCTTTGTGCCACTTTCTAAACAGAGTGACATTCCTGAAGACAGGTAAGTTCATATCCATATGTGGGCAACCATTTTTCAGGAAGTATAAGGAAGAATGATGCCATTACAAGACGACTGGCGCTTGTTGGTCTCTCCCAGTGCTAGGGAGTTGAACGGTGTGAGTAGGTGAGAGATAAATAACCTCTCCAATCAATCCCTGCCCCCTCCGCCCCCAGCAATCAAATAAAATGTCAGGATCTTCAAATATCAGGATCTTCCAACAACCTCCAGTTAAGTGTCTGCTATCAGTAGAGAAAAACTCAGATTGCCAGAAAATGTGTTAATTGATCTCAAAGTAAACATCCTTTCATTGCTGCTTTAGTTTGGCCTACCTACCAGCCTACTGTTTCCCTAATGTTTGTGTGCCATGTAGCCTTAAAACAAATGTCTCTTCCCTGCATTTGAACAGGTTTGGGTTTTTTTCCTCTCCACTGAAAGACCTCCAAAGGGAACAGAAAGCTCTTTAATATGTGATAACTATATGGCTAATAATGAAGTCTGTTCACCGTCTATCTTGCCAATGAACTCTCTACTGATCTCCTGAACTGGGGCATAATAGTGGCTTGCAAAGCTTCAAAACAGCCTCAGGCTGCTTTTCAATAAAATTATCATGGGGTTTTGCCTTAATTCCAGCAGTAGATGCAGAATAATAGATACCCAAGAACCCATTACAAGGCAGTAATTCACTGCTGGAATTATAAACAGCAGAAGCTGAGCTCTGCCCTTGTAATTTTAAAAATGTCAGCACAGCCTCAAAGAGTGAATATATTTTGCTTGCTGATCGTTCGGGGTCTGTTACATGACATAATGTATTTCAAGTTTGCCACTGTTCGATGCTAGCTGGTAATAAATACTGGAGAATATAACTGGGGGCTACATGCTTTCTTTTGGAATTAACTCCTTATTATTGAGGTTTTAGGATGTATGAGAGCATCCAGAAACATTTTTTCTCCTGAACTGTCTAGCAGCCATTACCTTGCAATGGATGCACGCATCTATCTGCGAGTGAGAAACTCCTCTCCAACTCTCTCACTGAGGCTCCCTAAGTCTTCTCTCCAGCACTACTGACATTTCACTTCCCATCAAAAAACCCTGATCTCCAGTTTAAGAATTTCTGCCTTTCTGAGTTATTAAGTAAACTTAGTGAAATGCATACCGCCACAGCACGCCTTTTTACTTCTCTCCAATCTTGGGAAGTAATGAAATTGCACATATCCCATGCATTGTCGCAACTACTGCATCACTGCATTACAAACTAGCCTAAATCCAAAACACAACAGCATTTAAAGAACATCGTGGGAAAGTTTTCCATAGCAGCTTTGAATTTTAATGATGTAGATCTGAGTGCTCAGCTCTGCTTTCACCAAAGCAAAAACTGCGTAATGCTAAGGACACCTCCGTTACTGGCATTTAAATGTCAACGCCTGTAGATGGGTAGGAGCTCAGGTAAGGCTCCTTAGCCACATTCTCTGAACACATTCAAGCCAAAACTCTACATTCCTTCATCCCATTGTGCACAGCTGTTGCAGGACCAAACTTGCTGTTTTATAATTCTCCAGTCATCAAGCAACATGTAATGAAACAGAGATGACATTTCCACCTTAACATTGACTTTCTAGGACAGGAAATTTTGTAGCTTAATGCCCAATGAACCAAAATCTCTGAAGTGAAATGCAAAGCAGGTATTTAAAGTAATTTTTTCATATAAATACACATGGACTCTTAAAGCAACTCTGTATACATTAGGCAAAAAACTTAAAAGCCTATAGGGGGACTAACTGGGGAGGGAGCTGTTTGTTCACAACACAGGCATGCCCGTTCACTGCACAGCAAAACATGAGCTCGCTGAGGTAGCAGTCAGCTCAGATGTTTTGAAATTCTAAAATTAATACAAATTTGTTTCAAGAGAGTAGATTACACCCTTTGGAATACAAGACGTACCGTGCACAAAAATGACTGCCGTAACCTAAAAAAAGCCTGTATTTGTCTTTTAAGTCCCAGGGGATAGTAGGCTGCATCTAGCAGCATATTATTACTTGCAAAGAGCCTGCCATTTCCTAAATTGCCTTGAAAGCCAGCGTATCTCTTCCCACCAAAACTCCTACCTAGCCAAGGAACAAACGGGCCCTGGGCTTTGTGTCCAGGAGGGCTCTCCTCCCCACCCTTGACTGCCTCTCCCCACTCCTCTCGGACAGCAGTTCCTGTGAACATGATCACACCTGGGCAGTTGGGCCTGTCGCAGGTCCGTGACTCGGTGGCAGTGCAGGCGTACCCACAGGACCTCGTCCGCTTCTGATTGCCACTCCCGCAGGTGACGCTACAAAGGGACCACGGGCTCCAGTCTCCCTCACCATCAATGTAATCTGTGTAAGAACAACGATGAGGAAGGAAATGAAGAAACAAGACTCCTACCACCCAAAACTACTGTGTAGTGTTTTTTTATTAAGAAGGCAAAACAAGAATGGAATCCAGATGTCTCTACCTGTAGCTTGGGCTAAATGCCAGGCATAAGCCTGCTGCTTAAATGGTTTTCACACTTGATGCTCCTCAGGGAAATGCACGCAACATTATTTGAAAAAATATTTCCTTTCTCTTTTGACCCTTTGGCAGCTGAGAATCCTCAGCTGCAAAGCTGGGTCATGAACTAACAGTACACATCTATTCACATAATTTCCCTGTATATAGGAATATGTTTTCTGACCACAGACTAATCAGGCACAGGATAAATTAAGTTTTCTTTTCCTTCTTTTCAAAACACACAGCAATAGCCCAACAATACTCAATTAATTTTTAGGACACAACGAGTGTTGGACTATGGGAGGCTGAGGGTCATGCGTGAAAATTACAATCTTGTTTTTCAGTCCTTGAACAGGAAACAGATATTACAGGAATACTGCCATGAATATAGAGAACAGCAGGTGCATCTTGCACCCAGAACAACATGCAATTTGTAGTGTTTCATGTGAATTATTAAATAATGTCAAATCTGACTGTTTACTAGCAGGAACTTTCTGAAAACAAAACACGACTTTATTCTCTTCTGGTAGACACCCAAGGGCAAACGATACCGAGTCTGCACCACCGTGGCTTGGTGCCGCTGTAAGTTTCTAAATCCCTTAGAGCCAGTCTCCTTTGTTTGCTGTTGCACGTCCCACCTTGTGACGGCCACCAAATGGAGCCCATGAACCAATCCAGTTTCCCTGCCTTCCCACTGGCCTCCCCAGCTGAGTGTTGTCTCTTGCTAGGGAGTGTCTGGCTTAATGGATTTCTCTGCAACCTGCAGGAGAGATTTAACTGACCCTGTGATCATAACTTGCAGCCTTTGCTCATTTGGGTTAAGCTGGTAGCAAAGCTCAATGGGGTTTAGTGACTCTGAGCCAGCCCTGCTCTACAGCTATAGGCTGAATGTGTATGTACAAGCGAGACACACAGACAGATCCCTGTCTGCACTGGCCTCTGTGCTACACGTGATTCCTGCTCCACCCCTGCTGCCATGCTGTCTGTGGGCTTCCTGAGCTGGTTAGTAGAACATGTAACTTGATTTGTACCATATGTAACGACTGACGACAACTCTGTGGGGTGCTATTAAACATCTATTGCCAGGAGTATGGGAAGGTTATATATCTCACTTGTAGCAAGCTGCCTAGATGCGAGTTCCTCGTGGCAGGGACCTTATGTGCTTTTCCTCCTTTTCTTACACTGCTGCTGATCGGGAAGCCACCGCACTTGAATCAGGTGTCCATGGTGTGATGTGGGTGGGAACATGGCTACCCTCTGTGTGCAAAGACCTGTGATTCTGGGATTTGCCAACAGGTGGGCACTACAGCAGTCTGAAGAAGCACAAAACGTCTTAGGAAAATGTGATCTGCCCTCTCTCCCTGGCCCTGCTCTCTTTCCCAGCTCTTTTCCAACTCTGATTTTTTTTCTCCACGTGGCTGGCGAGGAAGAGGGAGGGCGAGCATGTGCAATGCTTGTCAAACAGCCCAGCCTGGGAGGCCCAGGAAGGGCAGGCAGAGCCGTACGGTGCCTTTTGGCAGGGGCAGGATGAGGGAGATGATAGAGCCATGAAATGTGTGAACAGGTCAATGGGTGGAACTAGCATGAAAGCCTCATATGGGCAGGATCTGCTGCTACATCCTCCTGGCCAAGGCCAATGGCACATGACATTTTAGGTTAGTCAGAAGGCCAGGAGTCTTTTCCGATTAGTAGGGTGCTCTGGTGTACAGCAGAGATGATAATTTTTAGGCCTACCTACCTAGTGTTTATACTGCACTATGAAACATACAGTATGTACTATTAAACATACCACATTAGATTTTCAGCTGCAGCTCAACCTGTTCTTCCCATTTTTATATTTTTAATTCTTCTTTTTTTTTCTACCACAATTATTTGTAAAAGCAATCTTATTTTACCTAAATGAATAACTACCTAATATATGAATTCTTGGCAATAAAGTATGCCCACAAATAAATGCAGGTGCAAAAAGAAGGGATAGACTTTAATCTTCTGGCCACAAAATTTAGTACATATATATGTGTTTAAATACACCATTCCACAAGAAGGCTCTCTCAATTGTTTAGGTTCTAGGACTTAAAGTTAACCAAAACAGGGGAAAAATTAAGACTGAATCAGTGCATGACAGCCCCTCTGCAGGACCTAGGGAGCGCAACAGAAGTGCCAGGGTAAGAGTACCGTGGCTTTGAAACTCTGCTCTAACTAAAAATCTTCTGTATTTACATACAACTTAAATCCGAGAGGCTCTGAGCTACCTGTGAGCACATATTAGTTCACCTCCCTTGAGTCATTCCTGTGCGGATAGTCACAGCCCGTTGGGGCAGTGGAAAACTGTAGCTCCTCTCTGTTTCTAGTTTCTGCAACTGTTTCATACAACAAGCTGAAAACAATTGTTTTCACCATGACACATCTGGAAGAGAATTACACACACAAATACACAATGTTCCTGCTGCATATGCCACTCCCCACACATGCACCAACATAATTCATCTTATTTGTGTATCCACCAAATAGTACCACGTTTTAGATCTTGCTTATTTATCCAATAATTATATTTTGGTTCCCAAACCACTGCACGATTCTAAATTTGTATTTATCCTTACTCTAAAAATAAATATGAAACCTTATTTCCTTTGCTTTTAAAAAAAGTACACTTAGGACTAAAAAAAGGTCCTCTTATGGGATAACTGGTATGATTTTCAAGATTATAGACTTACTAGTGGAATGCAGCTACCACAGTACAGCTTGTGCATCTGCACAGATTTGTATTTAAAAGCTGATGAACAAAAGCCACATGTTGAAAAATTCTGTTTTGGTTGGCCTACTTTCAGCGATGCTTCACCATTCTCATTTCCCCCAAACTCGTTTTTACAATCCCAAGATGCCCATAAGAGGCCTGGAATGCAAACTTACCATACTCTGGCTGCTCCTTGGACTCAAATGTCCGGTGACTGGGTGCATGACTATCCCACCCACCGAGAGGGTTTAGGAAGTTGCTGTCCTCAGTAGTGCTGTCATACTTGTAGTCCTGGTCACCGCTGCTCATGCGAGTCAAGGTGGAGGACCTCTGCCACCAGTTTCTCCAGTCAGGTGATGGGACTAGCCAACTAGGCTTGCTGCTCTCTTTCTGCAGATCCTTGTCTGTCTCGGTGTCGGGGCCATCCACCACTTCAATGGTAACCTATGGGATTCAAAATAGACCAGCCTGTCTGTCAGTATCTCCCCCTAGTCAGTGGGAAACTTCTATACAGCAAACACAAATGGCTGGTGTTGCCTTGCAAAGGGGCTGTGTAATACTGTAAGGTTTGCATGTTGTAAACCATATGCGGATTACTGAGCCGAGATACGCAGCAGCTGAGTGATTCCTTCTGCTACCTCTGCTGAATCAGACCTTGGAACAAAGGCTAGGAAAAATCCTGCACAAAACAATAACCCATGCTGTGCCTAAAACCTTTGCAGCAGAATCTTCTGCCTTATGGGGAAAAGATATTTAAACACAAACATATATGATCAGGAAAAAGAAACCCAAATCTGTTACTCTAATTACGCTGAGGCTGAATTTGAGGCAAGCATGAAGCACACCAGTGCGCAAACCCCATTCCAAGGACTTGGGCTGACCCAAGACAGGGCTGAGGAAGCCCAGGAGCACAAAGGTGGAAGACGCAGAGCCCGGGGTCTCTGCCGGCCTTGCATCTGCCTTGCCCTCTAGCGGCACCTCAGCCCGTCCCCTCCCACGACCTCCCCGCAGCACCAGTGTTGCTATCGCACAATGGTGTGGGCTGTCACCGCTGTGTGAAACCACACTCAGCAGTGATGAGAGCCAGCAGCTCTTTCAACCACCACCCAGTCATTTGCTCCTAAGCCCTCTGAAGTAGGTCCTCTTTCTGTGCTGGAGAGTGTAATGATATATAACGCATTTACGGTCTCTACAGAAGCCCAGAGCCAAGGTTCAAAGTTTGCTGCCCAATTCCCTCACAGACATCATGAATGTAAATATAATTCTGCATAGGAACAATCCTCGATTACTCCTTTTCTGTGCTGAACAATATGTAGTTATGAAACTCTGGGATAAATACTGTGCGCACATATAGGTGGCTATTTAGGTAGAACTAGGAACTAGCAATCAGAAACCTTGGCTCTATGAGTCAAGCAAGCTTAGCGTGGCCACAGATAAGTCATAAAATGCTCTGATGCTTCATGCTAATGTGGTTCTGTGATTATGCTGGACTGGCTAAACAACCATGATACAGAAGTGACTATCAGATATACCTATAATGTTTAATAGGTATGGAGGTATTCTTCATGTTTTATAGATTTACAAAGCAGTCTTTCAAGACAGGACTCCATGAAAATTGGGTTGTGTAAAACCAGGAAAAACAGAATAATGTACTAATATGCTAAAAGTCATTTACATGGCTCTATGGATTTGCATTATTTTGGACAAAAGGTTGAGTTTTATACAATTTTTATTTGTAAAATCCCAAGACACACACAAGAAAGAGAAAGAAAAGAGTGTCTGTGTTTCTTCAGCTACCTGTGACCCACAGAGGAGTGTGACACAGGAAGCAAAACAGAACTGCTGCTGTAGCTTCGTAGCTGCAGACACAGCTGCACAGACAAGACAATGCCCACACATCCTTTTTTGGAGAAAGGAGATTTTGCATCTATTTCATGCTTTGCATTTGACCATAGACCAAGCCATTGAAATGAAACAACTTTGAGGCTACTAAGAAGCTCCACTGGGAGAAAGAGCAAGAGCGAGGGAAAGTGCAGTTGTCAGCCTAATAGCATCTTTACACAAGAGATGTTTTACTCCCAGACTAAATATGGAACTGGAATGATTACTTTATTAAACCCCAGTTTCTACAGACCAAGAATTAATATGGATTTCATAAGTCTGAAAACATCAGGGTTAGTTCAGGGATTCAAAATTGTTGCATCTATCCAAGCAAAACAGAGTTTTCACAATAAGTGAAAGGAAATAGTGTTACTGAGCGGCTAACACTATGCACTGCTGGCCAGTCGCAGGGCTTTAGTACTGGCCACGTGAAAATTAGTATGATTCTAGTACTTTAGTAGCAAGTACTTTTAAGACCACATTAATTCTGTAAGCAATGACTCAGCAAAGTGAACACACCCCCCCCCAAACAAGAAAACAAAAAACCAAACCAAACCCTCTCATAAAAAAAGGGCACTTGATAATCATTCCATTTGCTTTGGTAATCTGTAGTTATATGATAGTGAATCAGCATGAACTCGCATTATTTCTGCCAGGTACAGTTTGAAGAACCATAGGGATTCGATTTAAAAAACTTATTCAGGATGCCAAGTCAGTTTAAGCAAAAGAGGGTTTGTAGGGACAGAGGAACTTCTGTTGAGCTATGTGCTACCCTGGGGAAGAAAGGCAGGTGTAACGCGCAAACTTCCAGGGTTGTAAGACCTCATCAGACCTCCAGCAGCACTGCCACTAACTTAGTTTCAAGACGTGTCTGCGCAATCAGATACTCATCTTCAGTCAGTTTTTGCTACCAAGGAGGCTTATTACAAAGGCCTTTAAAATGAGTTTCCCAACGCACAGCCTATTTAAAAACCGAACATAACAAAAGCAAAATCCAATGTGGCAGTCTGACATACACCTGTATTTCTCTCTCCGTTGTTTTAAGCTTTGATTACCAAGTTGTTTGTTTAACATATGGCATTAAAACCATAGAGTGAAAGAAATTCTATAAAGAATTCTGGGATTGTCTGAACTGCCACTCTTGGAAATTAAAAAAAAAAGACAGCTTCATTTGACTCTAGTTCTGTTTGGTTTTGGGGACTCATCTATGCTCTGCCCAGCACCTTGTAACTATAATGTACCTTCCAGTGGCAGCGAGGAAATCAGTGAGTAATCGTAGTAATCCTCCCATGGTATGACCCAAAAGTTAGGGCAGAGGTGTGAGAAGAGGCTGTCGCTTCGGGCAAGCAATTGATCCCCTATCCCAGTCTAAAATTTTGAAAAATCAGCATTCACTGAATTCTTCCCAGTACTTACAGATAGACTTAACAACATTAGCCCACGACTATACAAATACATATACGTGAGACATATACGTCATACACAAACATGTATCTTGTTTGATCAGTTTCTCTACTGGGGGTTGTTTATAAAAAGGAAAAAAGAAATCAGATCTAGAACTAGAGTCATTAAAAACGGGCATTTAAAGCAGCCCTGGAAAAGCTTTCATGCTATGTAACTACTCCAACAAAAACATGTTCTCTCAAAAATTAAAAAATAGACCTGGTTTAGTATTTCTATCTTGGAGACTGTTTTAAAGACTTCATTTTCTCTGATTTCTTCTTCCAGTGATTATCAAAACTGTAAAGATTATTTATTTTTTTCTCAAGCTTCCCAAAATGTCTGTGGTAACATGGTTCTTGTATAAATCCACAATCATCTCCAGAAGTATTCAAACCTAAAATGAAGCCACTTCACACTATGGTGTGAGCTATAAATAAGGATGTTCCTCTAAAAACAATTGGCATAGGTATGTTAAAACAACAGATTTGCAGTCAATTTCTAATGAAACAAATGTATCAAGCACAGATGTCTTGAGACACTGACATCCAATTTTCTCCTGGCCAAAAATATACAGAAGATAAATATTATCCCCGCCTGTTGGAGTGCACAAAAAGTTCTGTGTACTTCATCCTGTTTACTGAGACAATGTTTCTGAATTCACTTCAATGGTGTAAACATTGCCCTAAGCAACTGGAAGATTATGGTTCAGAAAGAACTACATTTGCAATTTTGTGCAAGCAGTGGATTCTATGACATTTCTATCCTCTGTTTCCTTCATGCAACTGATGCAAATTTTCAATGCAGAGCTTGCCATTCCATAAAGGCGGATATGTGCAAGTCAGCAATGAGGTAACTATAGTAGCAGAACAGAAATGAGTTCATTAGAAGATATTGAAATGGTAAATTTAGGTTTACACCACATAACAACTTCAGTTAAAATTATATCAGTAGTGACACCAATTTACTTCCAGTTATGTCATGACAGCTCACTTTTAGAACAGTTTTCTGAACTTGATGAAAAGTGAAGGACCCTCAAAATTTGCTGGGAGCAAAGAAGACAATGATGTGACTCGAAACCTGAAATTTGTATTTAACGTTGTCAATCCTATTTGCACTCACTGCCCAGCTGAACTCCAGAATTAAAAACCTGGTCAGAAACCCAGCTCTGAATTTTGCACTCTGCAGCAAGCTCTTGTTATGCCATGACATTAAGAAATCTGCACAGAGGTAGTAACAGCTCTGGTATTGAAAGTGGTTTAACCATGGCCCTCTGGCACCCTGCTCTGCCTAGACCAGTCTCTCTGGCTTGCTAAGAGGACTAGCTAGCTCCTGGCAAGGCTACACTCTGCTTCCAGTGCTGCAGCTAGGGAAAACTGCTTTGCTACTACCTTAAACTATTAAGCCTTACAGGCATTACAAGAAATAAGCACTACTGGAGCCCTCCAATTCTTACTGTGCTAGGTTAGAGATGAGACGTACTGGTCCGAGCTCGGTATTACAGGTACTGCTGAGTCTTTTGTGATGATACCGAGGTGGTGGTGCTTTCCAATGCAGTGAAACGAGCAGCTTCGAACGACAAATATAAATGCTACCTAAAAGCCACATCTAATAAAATGTGTTAAAAGTGAGATGTGATATAGATGGAGGTGAGGGAAATGGCCATGGAGGAACCCAGAGAAGAGTTGGCTTGAAGTCTGCAGTTCTTTTTTAAAAGCAGATCATACAGCCTTGTTCCTCTGTAGTTGTGTATGTTTCTAGATTGGGTGGTTCTATGTAGATGTTTTTTTAAGAGAAGGTAGAAACTGAATAGATATCACAGAGAATAAATAAAGCTAACACAGCAGCACTGGAGTGGCATGATAAAGACAACACATCACCAAGCAGACAGCATTAACTTCTGGCTTAAAATCACTCCCATCAATTATTACCAATCCCACGATTCAAAGCGAGGATAATAATCACAACAGATTTAATCACACACTGATATACTTCAGTTTTCCAGGGCACATCAACATGTTTTTAGGACAGGAATTGCACCTAACTCTGCACAGTTTCTACTTGGAACCTGTTACCTCATCCAAAATGTTTAACACATCCATCGCAACTGGAACTCACCCAGCTGTGTCTCTGGTATACTGGTTGTGAAGCTTGATGAAGATTCAAGTTCTCTGAAGAGCATTAAAATCAACAAAATGCCCTTGCCCGACAAACAGTAAGGAGTTTTCCCTTTTCTGCTCATTTGTCATGATGCTGAGCACTGCTAGGAAACCAGCAAAGCAGTGGGACAATGGAGAGCAGCACACTACCTGTTACAGTACACAAGCCTGGGAAACCAGGAGTAAAAAGAAAAGGGGAGGAACAAGAGCAAGCGTTCAATTGCAAGCTGAAGCATCTGGCTCCCAACAGAGGATCGGCTGCAGAGAAGAGCTGAGAGGTTGTAGGCGGCTGGTTGGAACAGACAAGAAAACCCATCAGAAATGGCAAATAAGTGGGTTCCTATACACCCCCCATGTGACTTCATTCTGTTTCTCAGGGGTGAGAACAATTCTGTCTTACTCTGAATAATAACCCTGCCCAATTACAAGGTCTGCATAGGCATCCCTCGGCTAGTTCATCAAACGAGTGCAAACCTACACAAAAGGGATTTTCCACTTGTGAAAGGAAATCCAAAGAAAATGTGTGATCAGTTTTTGTAATCACCTTCTCATCCAGAAGTCTTCTAGGCATTGACAGAATTGTTAAAATGACAAAAAAGAAGAAAACAAAATACCCCAAACCAAACAGCCAGCCTTTGCTCAACAGCAGCTACTGCAGTTACTCTCAAACAGCCAGCATGGAAGCAATGCTAAAGCATAAAATGCCACTTGAAATGATGGGAGATTTTACAAGGCTAAAACGCCACAGAAAGACCAGTGAGTGTCATCCTGCTCTTCATGCAAAGAGTCAAGTTGCTTTTGGCTTGCTTACTGCAGCTCCGACTGCTGCTTCTGAGGTTTTTCTAGAAGGCAGTCCACTATACTTATATTTGATTATCACCTGATAAATACAGTAGTACCTGGGGACATGTTAATTTTCTGAATTCCTGTGATGGTGTTCTGATATCCACCACTTCCTCCCTGACAGAGCGCACAACCAGGGCATGATGCAGCAATTGCTGTCTCACAGGAAACCAGAGAAGGGATAGCCATAAAGAGAACTCACTGGAGTATCCTTTCAACTTGCTTTTTCAGGCTGTTTTATGTCTGTTTATTAGGGGTTTTAAATTTCAAGGTATAATTTCCCTTAAAAATGTTATTTTTGGTCTACGCAGGTTTGTACTAGTAAAAAGGAAAAGAAGTTGTGGGTCTTTGACAGGTAAATGTGGCCATTGTGCTAGATTAACACACACAGGCTTTTTTCTCCTTTCCAACCTCACTGTCCTAGGAGGACATTTAAATTAACACCCCCAGGACTATAACTCATGGAGCCTGAAGCCATTGTTCAAAAAGCAAAATGAGCACTGACTCTGCTGTCACCTGCCAAACAGCTGATGAGAAATTTGCAAGTCAACAAGTGTCATTATTTCCATTCAGGCCAGTACAGTACTGTTTAACAAGCAAGAATTCACTATAATCCTGTTTTTTTCCAAAAGCGTAGGCCACCTTTTACAACCTTTAGGCAAAGAAATAAACTTTCATTGACTCTGTAGTGAATTATTGGGAGTTTTATCTCCGTAAGGCCTGACCTGCTGCAGGACTGTCAACCAGGAACTTAAAGAAGCTTTGTATATCCCTATTTATGCACCTCAGTAAGCAGAGTAAATATAATGCAGAACTTAGCGAGCCTGTTTCTGAAAGAGCTTATCCTTGTGCACAAGAGCTCTGGGATTAATGTTGCCCAATGTTTTCCAGTTTACAGGACTAGGCTTCCCAGTTCCCGGAGTACAGCAAAACTGCTGACATAGTTGGCTGACATGTTTCCAAGATCAGGTGGTGGAAAAAGAGGTCATAGCTGAAGCAGTTACTATAAAGACAAGCCAGGGAAATGTTTCCATCTCATTTATCTGTTCCCTGGGTCTAACCATTAATGCTGTTACCAGTCAGAGAAGGTTTTTGTTTCCTCCTGTCCTCCGTTTACATACTGTTCAAACAATGATGTTACACTATTCACCTCATGCCACAGTCTGGGGCCCCTATAACTTCCCTTCCTAAGGCTTTCTGGAAGGCTTCTCTTGGCATGAGGGATGTGTACAGTCACCACATGTTGAACGTGTTTTCTACCTTGACCCATCAAGTATTGGACCTGCACTTGATCCAAATCTATTAGGCTTCTTAACATTGCAAGCCATCTATGACATAATGGCGTGTCAACTTCGAGACAGCTTGTTCTCACCTGATCATGTTGGTCTCTCACCAACAGATCTATTATATCTTTACGTACGTAATTCTTAGACATATCAAAAGGATGCTAATTTTGTGGGTTGGGAGAATAAGAAGCCAGGAATTAATTTAACCAGAAAACCAGTTCTATTAGTGTATTGTTTTTATAAGCACATCTTAGGCAGAACAACATTTCAATTTATTGTTTTGGTTAAAAAAGGATGCTTATTAATGCCAATTTTGCTTTAAGGCTCTGAATTAAAAAGAAATCACTCATTTTTTCCTCTTTCTAATCCTTGAAGTTTCAAGATGCAAGTGGCTTCTAAGAGGCCATTCCAAATCCAAGAACAGTTTGAGGAATAACATATAACAAAGTTTCTTGCAAACAATTTTTTTTTACTCCAGGCAGCTGCTGCAGCAATTAGCTTTAAGTCTCGGTTCCATACAGAGGACCACATTTTGGGCTGAAAGTTAAAGACTTGTTCTCTTATAACCTTTGGGGATGGTTGCATTTTATAATAGCATACCAAAAGAGAATCTGTTCACAAACAAATTTTGCAACAGAGAATTGAAAACAGAATTTTAAATACCCATTTAATATCATGAAGAGAATATCTTCCAAAATGGCAATAGCAAAGATGGCTTTAGTATCATAAACAGGTCTATATTGATACCACACTTATGTAATCAATACTATCCAAAGAGAAATTCAGAAAAAAATTGAAAACTGTGCATTCACTTAAGACAAAAAGTATATTATATGTTATATATATTTATATATATATTACATTACAGTACAGTACAGTCTAGTATAGTATATTCATTCTTTCTTGGTGCTATTGGTAGAGACAGGGTGTTCTGACTGCATGTCATGGAAGCCAGGCTGAAAGTTGTATTGGTTCAGCTAAACAATTTTTTGCAGCTCATAAAAAAAAAATCACACATTAACATAAATTTGTACCTGAATATTGGGATTCTGCCCATTGATATCTGCTTTTGACAGGTCAGGGAAGTTTGGGAGATCCAGGAGGAAAGATCTGGGTCCATCTCTTTGCAAGGACGTATGCCCATTTTCCTGCCTGAATCGCTGCTTAGGGAACGGCCGGTGGGCAGCCTGGAGATCAGGGTATTCTCTTCTGTCCTCAGGGTTCAGGGTGAAGCTGTCTTCAGGAGAACGGTCATCTGCAGTGAGTGTGTTCTGGGGAAAAAAGCAATGCACTATAACAACAACTGAGAGAGCGTGCAGTCCTGCTAGTCCCCGTCTCCAGCTTCCTGCCAATGATGGCTGCAGAGTGCGTAGAGAAAGCCTTACAGCACACAGACCCACAGCTCATTACTGAAATGGACAGGATTTATGACTGGTATTTTCTAGGGTGCTCATAAGTTTGGCCTCTGACTCTCACTGAAATATACTTGGTTCCAGTGGTGCACATCTGTAACCATCTGACACAAGCTAAAACTGAGTCAGACTTGGGTGCTTAGCTCTTTCAGGTTCCTGTAACATTCCAGCCTTGAGGTGGGCACCTACACATCGACACAAGCATCAAACTTAAAAGCAAATCTGGAAACATGAAGCTCTGAAGCACCCCTGGGAAATCAAGTTATATCACATTAAATGTGTCCTGAAAATGGTGAAAGGTATTTTTATTATAAATCGTTTCAGTTTGCTTTGTTCCCAACTGGACCAAACCCACTGACTGCTAAGTGCATGTTGAAATTTACGGTATTAAAAGATCCTACTGCTGAACTGGCAACCTCCCCCTCTCTCTCCTCAGTCTGCAACAACTTCCATCTCGTTGTCTGTGTTCCTCACCCAGTTTCTCTGGTCTTGAACATCTGAACCTTCCTTCCTCTGGGATCTCATTTTCATGTTTGCCTAATGGTGGGATTGAATTTCACCAAGTTGTGGGTCAGCGGTTAATGCTTTTGTTATTGTTGAGCGTACTTTCGGGTTTTGTAGTATCTTACAGCAGGCTGCCTTCAAACCAGTAGCACTGCTGCCACTGCCTTTGACCTCACCAAGGAGATACATTTAGTATCAAAACACTCCCTCCCTGGGTTAGGAGTGGCCTGGGGACTCGGGGGAAAAAAACAGCAGAGAAGTCAAACCTTCTTACGGCTACAAAAAAAAAATGCGTGGGGCAGATTCAGCACAGGTTTTGCTTTTGACTCAGCTGAAAAATTTAGGCTTGAGGTCTTAGTATGACTGCCTGGGGAGCTTTTATTTTCAGTTCATAAAGAGACAGCAAGCATGGAGAGGCTAAATGTTAAAGACCTATCCTTTAAAACAAGCACAATTAAAGAGGAATGGCCACATGTGGTTCTGGCTCTACTGAAGCATATTTTTGCCAGCATTTCTGGTTTAACGCAATCTCCATCCAGCTCCCCTGCTCAAATTAAGCTAGCATACCTTTTGTTAAGCTAGCATACCTCAGATAGATAACAGCTCCAATGCCTTTTATTTCGTGTTTATTTGCTTAGAAGGTTCTAAATCGACCTCTGAAGAGATTTTACAATATAATCTGTGCACATTACAGGAAAATATTCAGTGAGTTAAATAAACCAAGATTTAAGAGTTAATCTAGGACTAAGTGAAATCTTCTCAAGCAAAAACTGAGGTGGTCCTCCTCTCCCCTTCTTGCTGCACTGCCTTTGTAAAGAGCAAAATCAGATTTAGCAGAATTAATGTTGTCTTGGTATTTTCATGATCAGCATTGTTACACTTTGAAAGTGCCAAAAGGGTACTTTTATACATCTATCTATAGCACAGATGCAAAAAGTTCATTCTGACTTAAGTGTATGTGTGCAGTGCTAAAAATGTATGTGCTCCTGACAGTCATATTACTTGAAGGTCAAAACAAGAATGCTTCTCTTTTTGTTGAAGACCAGGTAGGACTTTCAGATACCTTTGGTGGACCACCCATTGACACACCCCTTATTCAATATAAAGTAGAAAGCAAATCACACAGCAACAAGCTCTGGAAAACAAAATTGAGGGCAACTTAGCTAACTTTATGTTCCTTACCCATATGCTAGTGCTTTTACTTAACATGTAGCAAACAGAATTTAACTGCAAACTTCTTGATGCCTGACGATTAAATGGCTTCTCAGTTATGTCTGACTAACAAGGTGTAATTGTGCTGTTATTAAATTACTTCAGACAGGAACCAAAAAAATGTAGTACTTAACTACTTTTTTGTGGGGTATCATGCCCATAAGATTACCTTTATTAAAAATAAAGTGAGATTTTATTAAAAATAATAGAATTTTCATATAGTTTCATGCTTTCCCTAACTGCTTGCCACTTCAGGAGCATCCTGATTCTTCACATTAACATTCCATACAGCTAGAGCTAGCCAAGGACTTTAGACACCTACATTTAATTCTCTGATAAGACTCGCTGTGTGATCTTGGCAGGTCACGGTCTGTCTGTGCCTTGGTGGGGATAACAGCACTTCCCTTCCTCACTGTGATGTTTGCAGGGAGCTCAGCAACTACAATAATAAGGGCTATATAAAAAGTTTTTAATAGTGTCAGACAGATGGAATATCACATGGAGTTAGTTAGAAAATTGTCATGGTGAAGTAATGACATCAGGCTGATCGGGCCCACTACCAAGCTGCTTGGGGCAGGGATTGTCATTAATTACAGACTGAATGAGTTGGGGTGGTTTAACGTTAAAAAGAAAAACAGAGAGGGGACATGATAACTGCCCTCTACCAAAGGCTGCTGCAGCAAGGAGGGGGGTGGACCACTCTGCTTGCTCAGGGTGGACACGATCAGAAGACCCTGGTTCAACGTTAGGTACACATTTCTAACAGCAGTGACAGCCAAGCTTAGGAGCAGACTTTGCGGGGGGGGAATGTGGAGTTTGTCTTTAAGAGCAAGGTTGACTAATGCCTGGCAGGAATGACACAGGTTAAATAGTGTGTCCTCTGCCTAAAAGCAGTGTTATCTCTTGCAGTCCCTTTCACACTAGGACAAGCCCATGCTATGCCTCCTTGGGGCTTCTGTGTCATACTGCAACATAAACAAACAGAAATGCTTAACATGCATGATCATTTCAGTTATCTGCTTATAGTATCATGAACAAAAGATCATTTGTTTCCAGTTACTAGAATTAATAGAATACCTATTTTTTAGGTAGATAATTCTTGGTGTAGTGTCTAAGCTGATTCGCAGTATTATTAGACATTTATATTTCTGGTAAAAAGATAAAAGAGGCTGCCATCAACAAAAAGTGAGCTTGAGCTGCATGTGAAGAAGACAATATGGGCTCACTCTGTTCTACTGCATTAACTCAGGCAAAGGATCTTCCAAGGCCAATCTAGCAGGAAGAAGTATGTCCTTACTGCAATGCCAGCATCCTTTCTGAAGAAAACAGAGTTTGTGTTCCAAAGCTAATAGATGAAATTTAATTCTTCTCTTCTTATTTCTATGTTATTTCACATGTTTATACTTCACACTATTTATTTTTAGGTGTACATGATTTGTATTCCCGATTGCTTTTGGGAAAGTAGTATTGCTTGCCTTCCTTTAAAAGTTAGGTCACTTCATTCTGAACTACTTAGTTTCTTTGAAGTTACATTTCTAATTCAGGTACATTGGTTTCTTACTCAAATGATGCATCTGCTCTAAATATTTTAAGATAAATCACTTTTTTTCCTTCATTTAACGGGATTATTCACAACTTTTAAACTTTCCATTAAGATGATTTTAAGAGGTTACTCATGCTTGCTGTCAGCTACAGTTCTGCTGCCCCATAGGATCAGATATTTATAGTTCCTAATACAAAACCAACTTAGGATTTCTGAGTGTTCTACGCGCGGACAGTATATAAGGACAGGAACACATTATGCATAGCTGCATGAGAAGGCAATGAAATAAACCCTAGAAAGAATCTGACATATCGTTTGTATTACAGAATAACACCTTGCCACACCCACCACTGAAAAAGGGAGGGCAATATTTCAGTATATATCAATGTCTTTGTGTCCATCTATAAACCAGGGAAGAAGAGCAATTCAGAGGGATTTTGTGAGGGTAACTTTCAATGCTGGTGATCCAGGCAGGACTTGCACCATCGCAGGGTTTAAGGCACCAAGAAACAACCCTGCATGCAGGAAAGATTTCCTACCTGATACTGCAGTTTAACATTTCAATAATCAAATGGGTATTTTAACTCCCTCCATTGCCTTCCTATTTAGTTTCTCCCTCTGTCACGTTGGACATTAGCTGCAGGGAAGTGTACTGTTTCTCTTCCCCACAGAGAAGTTAAACAGAAATGGGAACTTATAAAAATACCAAACTAGGGAAAAAGGGAATTTCTCTGCATTTTTAGCAAGTAAGGGATCCACCTCCCTCCTCTCCTCCTTATTTTAATCCCATTTCCAGTTCTGGAAAAACAACCAAGACAGAGAGTAATTGAGGAATGACTGGAGCTACAGAAAATATTCTGGAGCTACAGAGAATATTCTGGAGCAGCTGCTCCTTCTCTGTCCTTCATATTTCTTACCTTCCTTCATTCCCTCCCCACTTGCCAAACTAAGTGCACATTTGCAAGCACTGCTAATTAAGGAGTTGAAAGAATTTGGGAAAACTGATGCAACTTATATCCCTAACAGCTCCGAGACAGCAAGGGAATCTATTACTAAATCCCTGCTGCAGCTACATTGCTTTTTTATTTCTTGCATAGCCCTTTGAAATATCTTGCAAAATGATCTTGACAAGAGGTCTTGAATTGAAAACTGACAGTCTGTCAATGCACTTTCATGATGCACCTGTACAGCATCTTCAACCACCAGGAACAAGGAACGTTTATTTATTAGGAAACTTCACAGACGCTATAAAAGATTATATTGCTATCAGAGACAAAATGAGGCCTGGGGCCTTCACAGAAAACCATTATAGCTATTAGGACTGGTTTCATTTCCCACCTGCCTAAACAGATTGTTTTGATTTTGAAGGCTGTCGTGTGTTTCCAGGTTAGTGCTAAATGATCACTTTAAAATTAACCGGCCTGGGGAGGCTGAGTAACACACCAGGATACTACATGAGACTTTCACCTCTGCAGATCCAAGATCTGTAATGAACTTGGGTGATCCAGTTCCTGGGTTCTATTTATTTTTTTTGTCTATCATGAGTATAAGCAGCACAGGACCTAGCAGGAAGAGGTATGAGGA